TCTCTCTCTCTCTCTCTCTCTCTCTCTCTCTCTCTCTCTCTCTCTCTCTCTCTCTCTCTCTCTCTCTCTCTCTTGCTCTCTCTATTTTTATTTTGTCCTCCTCCCTGTTGTCTACTCCCTATCCTTGTGCACTACCAGTAAACGCATGTGAATGAGCGTCATTGAGAGAACAGACAAAATATATTTTTTTTTTAATGTGGCCCGATGGACCACGGATCAGATATTAAACTGGTCAGAACAGATACAGTGCACTGGATCTTAGCCAAAAGGCCGAGAAAGGTATACAGACAAAATATAATTACCCTTTTACTCTGCCTCTTTTTATAACGTGCAAGTGGGCCGTAAAGGCACACGGGGATGTGGGCAGCTGGCGCTCAACCATCATCAACGTGGCCAGCCTTGTCCGTGATAGGCACAGTAAGAAGGTAACTACAAAAACAAAGAAAATGGGACGCCTCCCAATGCTACTAGCTGATGAAAATATAATAATAAAAAAAAACGATATAACGAATTTATTGCATCTCCTATTGTTTTGGCTGCTGGGTTGGCCCATCTCAACTTGAAGTGCGTTGCATTGCTTGTGTAAAGGTGAGATTCCTTGCATTGCTTGTTTAAAGGTAAAGGGTTCTGAATAGATATTGACTTCACAAGCAAAACTGTTTCATTGGTGGATTGGCTCATTGTCTGCAATACAGGAAAAGTTGCTATGACTTTGGATCTACTCATCTGGGTGGAATAGGGGAAGTTGTGGTGATATTCTCACACACACACACACACACACACACACACACACACACACACACACACACACTCTGATGAGTCGGTTAAAGTCCGACAAAATAGTCTAGAAGAGATGCGTTTTTTGCGGAGTTTCATACAGCGAACATGACAACAAACACACACCTGACTTTCCAGCTCTTCAAGGCGCTGCATTCGCCGCTGCCGAGATCTCTTCGCAGAAGCCCGATTGGACAGCATTCTGAAAACAGTGGATGAACAGAAAACTATTCTGAGACGATCACCCCACTGAAATACAGAGTGTTGCCCTGGACGTCCATTTAAATTGGAGCCGTACAGATACACAGAGAATGTTAGCAACACATAGAGTCTCGTTGGTGCGACGAGCTTGCTTACAACTCACAACACCTGCACCATACCATCACACCCACTACAGAGTTCAAACCTAAAGTCAGACCAGACAAATTTGATTTTTTTTTATTTTTCTTTTCTGCATTGGCACAACAAGGATCTCATGGAAAGAAGAGACAAACAACACCGCTGCCGTCTTCACCCGAATAGAACACCTGGCGATTATAGCAGCATTTGGGTGATCGTGCAGTCTAGATACAGCGATAAATACCGGGCTTTGTTGTATTCGCGTGAAGATGGTAGGAGAAAAGGAAAATTCTGCATAGCTTGGGACTTTGGAACTTTTGACAAAATCCTGTGTGTGCCATCTGGAGCCCTATATATATATCGTCACAAACAGAGCTGCCCGGTAAACCGTAGGCAGAGAGAGAGAAGAGGACAACAAATGAGGGGCTGTGACAAACTGTTTCGTCGGAGTTTCACCGACTCATCAGGAGGCTGAATATATATATATATCATCACAAGCTGTTGCCATACCTTGGTCTCCTTATCTTATCTATAGTCCGAACTTCTCTCCATCTGATAGTAAAAGCTTGGTGGAAGCTTTGACAATTGGCAGGAGTAGGATTTGAGCCTACGGCATTCAGATCATGAGCCTGATGAGTTAGCAATTACTCTATCCAGCGTGCATAGTATCGTATGGAATCCTCACTCACTCACTCACTCCATAGATCAGACGCACCAGCCTCTGTCCTGATCACTAAGAAGAGATGGTCACTGCTAGCTCCTGAGTGAGTGAGTGAGTAAGCGAGTGAGTGTGTGTGTGTGTGTGTGTGTGTGTGTGTGTGTGTGTGTGTGTGTGTGTGTGTGTGTGTGAGAGAGAGAGAGAGAGAGGATTCTTCTTCCTTAGTCTCCGTGTTGGTCTACTTTTGCTACCTTTTTGGTAACTGTCTTTTCAATTGAGCATTGTGAGTTTCATGCATGGTGTGAGTGTGCGAGCCCCTTGGAGTTGGTTTCATTACAAAGCGTTCACACTTCAAACACGACAAACATGTGCATGTGTGATCCACTGATATGCTGCGCGTGGTGCGAGTGAGCCAGAAAACGTTTTTGAGGGGTCAAAAGACTCAAAACAGGTTGGGGAAAAAAAAAAAAAAGTTGAAAAACTTGAAAAAAAATAGTAAAAACAGACAAAATAGAATTTCAAATTGAGAAAGCGTGCGTGGTATGCCATGTGTGGTGCAAGCGCTGCAGCAGCTCCGGGAGTCCGGGGTGCAAATTTTTTTTTGAAGGTTCGAGTTCCGATAAAAAATTTGCCCCTGAAGGGCCTGCAGGTATCTCCAACACGGCGTTTTATTTTCTTTCATTCTTTTTTTTTTTTTGCGTTTTTTTACGGTGGACATTATCTGTTCATCAACACTTATACATGTGTGTACCACAGAGTAACCCTGTAGTACGTCTACCATGTAGTACTACCATATACCGTGTAGTACCCTGTACAATGTACAGGGTACCGTGAACGATGTCATACCGTGCACCATGTACTATGGTGTACCATTCAGCCACCTGGCAGGTACAATTGTTTCTACCCAAAATTGGCTGAAAGGGGATCCAAAATCTTATTTGTTGAGCACACGAAAGTCGAAATGACTCGAAGACGGATTTTTAAAAACTTTTCGAGTTTTCAACCTTTAGTTTTTTTTTTTTTTTTGGTAATTTGCAGGGGTCATTCTAGTCTTCCCTGCATCGTTCCGATTTTAATGGATGTCCCAAAGGACACGTCCGTTAAAATTTTCAACTTTTCTTTTCTGAGTTTATAAAAATTGAATGCAGTAACCTGTGTAGCATCGTGTTTGGGTTCGGTGCTCAAATTCGTAACCAAACTGGAGTTAAAAATCAAAAACCTCAAAAACATTTTATTATTATTATTATTATTATTTTTTGATGTTCGGCTGAACACGTCTGGGAGACGTTCGGCCGAACGTCCGAACAACATGTTCGGACGTTCAGAAAAGCTCCGAACATGTTCGGTGCGCTACACAGGTAGTAATGCAGTTAGTTTTGGTCCTCTGCCCTGGCTTTTGGTGAATTGCACAGCACACAGCACACAGCACACAGCACAAGTGCACCAGAAGTATGGCTCAAAATATTGAGTCAAAATTCAAATCCTATTTGATAATTTATTAATTTGAGACAATATTAAGGTTTTCAACTTTTCAGACCGCTCTCCTCACATTTGAGGGGGGGAGGGTGGAAGAAAAGGTGCACAAAACCGAAAGTTCCCCGTGTGAGCTGGACTGAAAGAATCTTAAGAATCTTAGGTGGGTTGCCCGCGCATATGCAGCATACCTCTTTTTTTTTTTTTTCCCTATTGTAGTCCGGCAGATATTAAACTGATCAGAACAGATAGTACACACATGCTATTTTTAGCCAAAGGCCGAGAAAGGGAGAAACATACCTCTTTAACCTCTTCTGGTCTTTCACACCTCCACCCTTAAATTTGTAGTCATCATGAGTGATGATCTCCCCGGGACCCCCGTCCATTCTGTCCTCATCAGCCATCAATCTGAAAGCTGTGCTTCCCATCTGCGTCTGATCGCTCACAAAACAATGCCCCGAGCGAGCCGGAAATCCAGGGACAAGCACCCCCCCTTGACCTTCAGGGGCTACGATGGGCGCAGCCATCCCAATACCATTCATTGGAATCGCATCAACAACCGGCAGGCTTGTCTGCTGCTGCTGCTGTCGCTGATAGGCAGAGGGTGCCACTCCTTGGCCACTGCTCAAACCGATTGCGGGCATCGGACCCTTGTGCAGGGAGTTAGGCATGCAGACCTCTCCCTGTGCCCCTACCACCCATTGCATTCCATCACTGGGGACCCCATGAGCAGCGGCCGGCACCACCATCCCTGACCCCTCGCCATAGGCTGCATTTTCCTGTCCCTGGGCCCAGGGAGCTCCTGGCATGAACGGGTATACGGTCCTCGGCACCCTCCTATTTGTGTATCCCCCAAAGGCATTCAGGTTGGAACGGTCATGGCCGCCTCCTTGCGGAGGTGGAGGTGGAGGTGCCATGCCCGTTGTGTCTGGTGCTGCGTTAAGGGTGGCGATCGGGCCATTTGCTCGCACAGGAGATGGCATGACCATGGCTGCTGCTGTCGCCGGCACTCCTTGCGCTGAGTGGATTCCCATTCCGTGCGAAACGCCCAAAAAGTGGTTCGCTCCCTTCTGACCGGGCTGCCCCTGTTGCGCGTTAATGGCAACTGCCGTGGTGCACCAAGGTTGTTGTGGGTCAGGATTGTGAGGACCAGCGGTCATGTGGACCATCTGTCCAGGTACCGGAGCTCCGGAAGCATTCCAGGCGTGCTGAACTGGATGCGCCATAGTGCTGGGGTACCCCACCAAAGGACCCCCAGAATGGACCATCAGCCCAGGGCTAGCAACGCCAGGCTGCTGGCCCGGAACATGAGCAGAATCTTGCGATCCAACCGGATTACGAGAACCGGTGGTGGCCTGTACCGTCGGACCGGACCACATATGACCCGTCAGACCAGGTGTCGCAGTTTGGCCGCTACTAACACATCTGGAGATCGACAGAACACCGGAATGATGATGTGAAACTCCTGAGCCTGGTCGATTAGAGGTACATTGCTGGCGTGTGCCTGGACCTCCTGTGGACCCTTGGTGCATAATCTGACCCTGAGGCATGGCCGAGGAAAGACCATCATCGGCCCTCCTCGCCGTACTATCTTCCATGTCTACCCTTTGCTGGTTTGCCTGCTTCTCGGCTATCGATTGGATGCCCAATGCATGTGATTTTGCCTGTGTTTCTCTGTCTAATGGCATTGCTCCTGCCTTCACACCTGCCGCCCATCGACTGCCAGCTGCCTCTGTCAACCGACCCCCCAAGCCAGCAGCGGCTGTAGTCGCCATGTTTTCAACAGACGGTTCACGCTTGTTTGCTTCCTCGTGATCAGCAACAGTGCATGCGCAGCTGCATCTCTTGCCAGGAGTTCCATCATACTGACCTCCGCCATTCCTACAAGGCATGCCCGTCTCGAAATGGCTTGAACCGCATGTACACTGACCCTCTTCTGCACCAAAACATTTGCATGGCCTTTCTGGGTCACATTGCTGTGCCTCTCCATCGACCTGATCCTCAAGGTAATCCAGTCTCCTCAGTCCCTCTCTTGCTCTGCACTCGCTGCCTTCCTCCGTCTCCCTGACTCCTCTACCACCGCCTTCACAACCGCATGCCTCATCACACTCCCCCGACTTATCTCTTTCCATTTTCTTTGTGTCTATCCTCTTCAAGCATATCCCAAGACACATTTTATCTCGCACAGTAAAGTAACTGACAGATGAACTTCAATTAGTCACTGCTGCGATTCAGCTGCAATTTTTTTTTTTTGAGAACAGTCGGAGAACGATTCAGCTGCAATTTGATCTCGCACAGTATTGCTACTTACAGATGAACTGCAGAAGCTGCACTGACTATAGCTCTTAACTGCACCCGGTCCTGCAAGCACATCCCACAAACACATCCACAAACTGATCAATACACCACATGGAGAGAAGGGCTCCGGGCGGGCCAAGTTGAAGTCCTATTTCAAACCAAAAAACGTAGTTCTAATTAGATTTTTCTAGTAGTTCCTGGTTCTTTCTCATGCAAGTTCTGATGGAATTTTCCGAATGCATTCGTGATGGGACACTGGGCCCGGTTCCCAGTTTTGTGCCAACCTGTGAGGAAAAGCTGTATGTATGGGACGCTGGACCCAGTTTCCCGCAGGTGCTGCTCCCCACCAATAGATGGAGCTTGT